TCTGTCGGGTTTCCCCGCGCTGCCCGCGGTCCCTCTGGAGTCCACAGGGACACGCCACGCGGGCACAGGGAAGGAGAGCTCCAGAAGCCGGCGACTGCTCCGCGCATTCCCCATTCCTCCCACCTTTTACACCGTGGGGCGGTGTCTCGGCTCAGCCGCGCACAGCAATGGCCGAGCCCACGCTGGGCCCCGCACAGGCCCCGCACGGGCCCTGCCCCGCCGACGGGGCCCTCCCGGGCGCGCCCGGCCCCTCACCTGCTCCGCGATCCGCTGCGTCTCCTCGGTGGCGGGCCGGGCCGCCGAGGCACCCCCGCACAACATGGTGGCACCGCTCCCCTCTGGGCCGATCCTGCCCCTCGGCAGGGCCGGGGCGGTGTCGGGGGCGGTGCCGGGCCCGGGGCTGGAGCCCGCGGGCGGGGGCTCGGCGGCCGAGGCGGTGGCGGCGGGCGGGAGCGGCCGGGCCTGGCTCCGGTCCCGCCCAGCCGGGGAGGGGCCAGCGCGGCCCAGCGCGACCAGGGCTGCCCGCGCTCGGCGGGGGCATCGCGGCCCGACGGCCGACTGAAGACAAAACCAGCCCAAAGCGACACTTGCCGTGCAAGCTGCCGGCAGGATTTATTCTGCGCCCTGGACAGAAGGGCTGCGGCCGCTCCTCAGCGAGCGGCGCCTCCGTGACAGCTTCGCGGGAGGACAGGGCCGCCCTCAGCCGCTGTTTTGCCTTCCCCTGTGCCACCTCTCCCAGCAGCGGTGTGTTCCCTTAGCCGCATGGAAAGGTCCATCTCCAGGCTCCTGTCAGAACTCAAGAAATTCCTCTGGCTGCCCTGGAGGACTCGAGTCCCTGCCCAGGGGGCTAAGAGACCTTGGCACAGAGCCCAAAACCCCTGTGCCTTTGATTTAGCCCTTAGAAAAACAATTACCAACCTTAGATGTAGAATTAAAAGCCACGAAAGTTTAAGTAGAATGATAGTGAATTTATCACAGGGTGAAAAATAATTTTTGGAGCTTTTAGAATGTGGGTTCAGGGGGCAAGATGGAGGAATCTGGGTGTGTCCAGCCTTTCTCCTTCTTCTTGGCCTCCATCTTCTGCTGTGATGTTGGCACTTTTAGATTGGTTTAGAGTAGAAGTTCACTGTCTAACATGGGTGATAGGTATTAGAAAGTTACTGTAAATAGTGTACACGTAGTTTTTAGTATAAAAAGATAACACCTCCTCTGAGGTGGGCAAAGTGCCTCTGACTGTCTTGCTGAGCAGACCTCAGCAGGTCAGGAGAAAGAATTTTATAGATAAGATACAATAAACAATCTTGAGACCGAGAAATGAAGAGTTCTGACTCCTTTGACTGCCAGGCTGGGAAAAGAGACTTTCTAACGTATCTTGGGGTCACTCTGACCAGCTAGAGTCCCGAGAGGCTCCCTCATTCACCACGTTCATCATTCCCTCTCTCAGGCTGATTTTGCCGCTCCTCAGCCAGCAAGCTGAAGGCAGCGGTGAATTATCCAGCCTCTGGGAAATCCCTGAGGAGATTTTAGTCTGAATGTTCAGGTCTTTACCTAAATTTCCCCACAATTTAAGCATCCACTCTTGCAAAACCAACAACAAACACGTACCTTCCTCCCGCTTTGCAGCACCCCTTGGTAAAGTTGGTGAATATAAACCTAAATTTAACAATAGCAGGTATTGCAAACTGAACAGAGCTCATGGACTGACAAGGAGGACACAGTGACCAGCATGAAATATAATGGGGAATTTTCTTTCCTCTGGTATCATCTATAAATAAATTCTTTGATGGGGCTTTGGGTAGGCAGAGTTCTGCCACGTTTGTCAGGAGACTGGGAATGAAGGGTTGGGCTCTTCACTAGGCTGCTTCCCAAGTTTTCCAGTGGAAATCCCACCAGAGAGCTGATACACTTTTGTTGCTTCACTTCTGGACAGTTCAGGAAACCCCATACAGAGGCAAGCTTTCCAGTGGCTTTTTGAGCCACGGTGGGTGGGATGAGGTGTTCACATGGGCATCTTCTGGTAGGAAATGTCAGTGGAGGTTCTCAGGCTCGTGCTTTCAACAGATGAATGTTCCCCAGCATGGCTTCATCAGTGTTGTCATGTGTGATACACTGACAGGCATTTGGACAGGTGCCTGATCAAGCCTTGTCCTCTACTGGCCTTGATAGAATGAGAAGATATCCCCCTCTTTGTGCATGGGAAAGGGGTTTGGTTACAAAGCACCTTCCCAATTTATTAGTGAATTTCCCTTGTGTCCAGCGTGTGTGTCACTGCTATCAGCTGCAGCAGCAGCTCTCATGCAGCAGTGGAGCTGGAGGCTTAGGGCTCCACAAACGAGAGCAGGGTGGGTGGAAGGGGCTTCCCCAGCAAATACAGCACAGTTGGCCATGCTAAAAAATGATTGCGGTTCTTGGAGACTCATTGTGTGCCAGGGTATAAATTCCTTTAAAGTAAATGTAAAGAATGGAAAACACCCAAGGAATGAAAAGCACCCAAATGTCAATATCATCTGCTGTATATATAGCTAGTGAATATTGCTCTCCAGACAAGACAGCTGATGGTTTCTTTCTGTTTCTTACATTGCCTGTGTTCCTACACAGTCTTTGCTTTGTAAATTGTGCTGTTTTCATTTCACACATTGAACTCTTACAGCTTTCAGTGCTGTCAGCTTCACTTCAGGGGCTGTGGAGCTGGGTTTGCTCCATTAGGAAGGATTCACTTAGCACTAAAACCACTCAGCTATTGGAATTTTTGGAAGTGTAGCCTGTAACCAAAATGACTTTTTTAGGCCTCTCTGCCATCTAGTGCTCATCCCTGTTCGTGCAGTGAGACTCAGGAGACCCCGGGGCTCAATTCCATCTGAGCCCACGAGCCACATTCAGCAGCCTGGGGAAGGGACCTAGTTTTCAGAAGCAGTAAGCAGCTCTTGGCTGAGTCCAGGGGTAGAATGTGGTTTCCAAAATTTGGGCTAGAAGGATTTGTGTTTTCAAACTCAACTTTTTTTTTTTTTTTCTCCCCCAATCATCTGAGGCAGTTTTAATCAAATATTGTCATTTGCAAGCCTTACAATTATAGTTGGGTTGGTTCTTATGTGGTGAAGTTAAAATTTGAGCCCACTCCAAGGGGGATGATCAACAAAACGGTTAAAACAACTAGTCTGAAGAGCCTGCTTCTTGGGGTTCTGGACTTCCACTTTGCTCCTGTAAGTCAAAACTCCTCTTCCTTGTCAACAAGTGGAGGTGGCAAAACAAAGTTTTTATACAGTAATGTCACCTGTAAGTTTTATTTGCCTGCCCTGGCAGAAGAACAACCAAGCAAAAACAGTAACAAGAGAATTGTGGTGTTTTCCCCAATGCATTCGAACACAGTCCTTTTGTCTCTGCTCACACTGAGCGGCAGGCTCATCTACCTTTCTAGAAGAGGTCTAGACTACCTTCATGCTTAATGAGGGAGGGCATTGACATCTTCCTGACAGATGCCTGTTCTTCCATGGGGAATCTGGGAAGAGGGAATTAAATTCTGCAATGTAACCCTAGCCCCTCCTGCCAGGCTGTCCAGGGGTGTTTTTCCTCTCATCAGGCTGCAACAAATCTCTCTGCTGATGACTCTTTACAACTTTTCCAGCATGAATCAAAAAGAACGAGACATGCCTTGAGAAAACCAGGGGCACTTATATCTGCTTTAGGAAGAGTGGGACAAGAGTAATCCAGTTCTGCTATGATCTCTGCTGACATCCTTAGTGTTTTTCTTTGGGTACAGTCCACCATTCCTGTGGTAGGTGCCCTCTCTTCAAAATGGGAAATAACCTAGTAGGTGGCTTTTAGGAGCAAAACTGTATCCAGTTAATCCATTTGTCCCTGTATGTGTCCAAGAACCTAGGCCTGAATGTCTGTCTCACCGAGAGCAGCACACACACTTCTGATATTCACCTACTCCAGCGATCCTACTACCACAGCTGGGGGCTCCCCCTCCATCCCTAACTCCTCCATTTCTCCTTGTTCCATCTGCTGTGTCAGGCCCACCCGTACCGCCAGGACTGTCGCAATGCTCCGTGTAGGTGTGAGGCAGGTTAATACGGCAAAGCACAACGCTGACTGTGGTGTGAAGGGTTAGCCTTGTATGCCTTGTGGGATAGTACAGCAGCAACATTTGGTTAAGCATACAACTACTAGCGACATAATCAATCAGGGATACATCTCATTGTGCTTTTGCAGCATTCTCTGCGAGGGATTTACAAGCTGTTCTCCCCCTCCACCAAAGCAGGCAGGCTGGAGGTAAAGCTATTCCAGCTGGAGGAAACCAGTCGGAACCTAAGTAGCTTGGTCTAGTGCAATGGAGTCTACGGAGAGTATTGTCCAGTATTTCCTGTTGGGCAGAAAGGAGAGACTGGGACATTACTAAATATAAATTAGCAGGGCGCTCTGTCACATTAAATACTTTACATGTTCACACCCTTGGCTGTACACAGCATGCAGGACGTTGGGGGCTTTTTTATTTTCCCCATGACTGTGCTTTCCTGAAGTGAAACCGTGTACCTTGCTTTTGTAGAGCTGAGAGTCCTGATGCACATGGTTACAGATCACATATACTGGATAAAGAGGGAATATCATACATAGTGGGAAAGAGGAATATTATACATAAATGTAAAAGCAGGGTATAGTGGAATTGCCTAGTGCCTCCCATAGTCAGCTGAGTTGCAGTCTGGCAGGAAAAGCTTACGGAGGCAAGGCAGCATGCAGACTTCTGCTTAAGCCCCACCAGAGGCGATCTTCACTTGTACTTCTGAGATGTCCTGGTTTCAATAAAGCAAATGCAAATTCAATCCCAGGCTCCCCAGACACAGTCCTTCCTCTGGAGGCACATGTGCTACCCTGCCGGCGCTAACATTAAGGTGTGGTGGGGCTGTGTCACAGCAGTGTGTCTTTGTTGCCTTTCCTGTTCAGAAGCAAGAGGTAAGCAAGTTCCTCTTGGGGGCTGGTGTACTTTTTGCAATCTTCTTTCGTTAGGAATGTACCGTGTTCTCTGTGACAGAGCCACCTCCAGTGCCTATAAAATTTCGGGAGTTAACCGACGGCAGGGAAGGCTCCGCCTCAGGGCTCGGTCCCTCTTCTTTGTTGTCTCCCACCACCGACTCCTGCGAGCTGGTCTCCGGGCTGGAAGCTGCCTGGAAGCCGGGCTCAGCCCCGAGGGGCTCATTGATCTGCAGGGGAAGCAGGGCCCGGTGCCGCATCAGGCTGTCGTCACTGTTCTGGGCCTCCAGGGAGTTCCGGCGCTTGGCGTTCCTGTTGGCCATGGCGTTCTTCTGCGGCTCCTCGAAGCTCAGCGACAGCGTCACCGTTCCACTCCCAAAGCTGACTTTCTGCTTGCACCCACGCTGCTGCTGGCGCTGCCGCTCGGCGCAGGCTGGCAGAGGAAAAGGGTCCTCGTGGTTGCTCTTGCTGCTGATGGAGGAGGAAGGGGTGGAACCGGTGGAGCCCCCCAGGCTGTTGGAGCGCTTGCGGGACACGTTGCTCCGTCTCAGTGTGGCCCTGGCAGCCACTTTGAAAGCGTGGGCAGCTGTACTGCAGCGCACCTCCTCGATTGTGTTGCGGGAGGGCTTGAAGAGGATGATGTAGACTTTGTTGAAGAAGATGCAGGCCAGAAGCCCAAAGCTGGCAGCCAGTATTGCAATCACCTCCACAGCAGACACGAACTTGCCGTACGTGCTGGCGTAAGCAGGGATGAAAGAGATCCATACGATGAAGAATATCAGCATGCTGAAGGTGATGAACTTGGCCTCGTTAAAATTCTCAGGCAGCTTTCGAGACTTGAAGGCAAAGAAGAAACAGATGGCCGCCAGTAGGCAGGTGTAGCCAATGAGGAAGCCGAGGGCCATCAGGGAGCCTTCGTGGCAGGTGATGAAGATGATCTCATCTTCCAGTTCATGGTTTCGGTAACTGGATGGCGGGGCCGTATAGAGCCAAATCACACAGATGACAATCTGCACAAACGTGCACAAGAAGACCAGGAGGAACTGAAGGTTCAGGCCCCACCACTTTCGGTGGAGACTCGTGGGGATCTTTGCTTCGAAGACAAGAAGGACACGGTTGGTTTTCACCAGGATGCAGGAGATGCAGAGGACAAAGCTGATGCCAAAAGCTGGCTGCCGCAGACGGCAAGTCCAATTCTGGGGCTCACCAATGAAGAACAATGAGCTGGAGAAGCAGCATAGCAAGGAAAAGAGGAGGAGGTAGGATAGCTCCCGGTTTGTGGCCTTGACGATGGGTGTGTTGCGAAATTTGGTGAAGACTCCCAGAACAAAAGAAGTCAGGAAAATTCCGAGCACAGCAAAGAGAGTCAGAGCAATCCCAAAGGGCTCAGTCCAAGCCAGAAACTCTATCTGCTTGGGGATGCAGGACGTGTGGTTCTCATTGGACCAGTAATCCTCAGGGCACTTGTCACAGGCACTTGCATCTGAAAAAGAAGAGATAAGGAGAGGGAAGGTTTATCAGAATGAGAGGCTGAAGTGTGGGATGACATATATGGCAGCTACACACCAGCCTTGATCTTAAACACACAGAGTGTTCCGCTCCTGTGAGCAGATCCCCAGAGTCATATATTGATGTCTCGCAGTTTCTTACTCTGAAACAACCAGCCTCCCAGGGGCTATATAGGAAAACTCAAAGCATGCTTGGTTCTGGCTTAAAAGAAGTCCTGCCTCTGCCCTCATGTTTTTTGTAATACATTTCTTGGCAAAACTTTGCAAACTTCGATTGCTATCAGCTCTTACACAGGCTCTGGTTTTCCCTCTTCCTTGTTTCTTCACTTTTATCTTCTACTTCTGTCTGTCTTCATACCTCTCACACTTTTATCATCATTTGAATATACTGCCTTTTTCTATTATAGAGAAAATTAAAAACGTGCTTGCCTCCTTAAATGCTTTGAGAGCCTATTTCATATTCCATGGAGGCAAGTCTTACTGTCTAAATTGCTCTTCCCTGAGGGCAGGCAATGCCCTTGACTTGCAGCACATTCTCATTTCACGTTGGAATGCCAGGGAAAGATGTGTCTTAATAGTATCACTCTCCCTATACCCAGCAAATGTCCCACTAATGCAAAGAGAAAATTGGTGCCTCCATCTCCTTCATGAAAGTAGTTGGGCCTCCTGTGATAGCATGGCCATGCCAATGGCTTGCATGATCAAAAAGCAAGGACCTGTTGCTTCTGCTCTTCTTCTTTGACTCAAATGGGTCTTGTGCTCTAGCAGGGAGGGTCACAACTCTTTAGATGGCAGTAGAAAGGAGTTGCGAGCAGAGAGCTGGAGGTCTCAGCTTACCTCTGCTTTTGGGATCCTAGCAGGATAGCAAGGGGCCTGAAGAGAGTCCACAAACTCCTTTAACAGCAAGCACCCTGAGTTTTGCACCTGAGCACAGACACAGACTCTGACCACAGCTTCCAGAGCAGAGATTGATGCTAATGAGAAAGTCAGGAATGCTCAGCTAATAAGGCCAAAAGTTTTCAGGCTCTCTTGTTCTTGAGATGTGGTTGGAGAGACCATCCATGACCTGATATGACACCGCTTTCCTAAGGACTTTTTGCCTCACCTAAGGTGTTTATTTGAAAATCTGGCACTAGATGTAAAAGCTCAGTCAGAAGCTGCCATCACTACGTCATTTCATTTACATCCATTCAGCCAATAATTCTTATTTTTCTTGTGCCTTTTACCTGGGAGTTCATTACAAGCTGCAAGCTGCAGACAAAGCCAAGTTAATTTTGTGTAGCAGGGAATGCAGCAGCCTCTGCCAGAGACAGCTATTCAGCACTGCACCCTAAAGACACACTTTAACTGCTGTCTTGTGGTGGCTTAGAGACTGTGCTGCCTCTGAAGGGAGTCAACCAAGTCTCCCTCCTCCTGCAAGGCTGCTCATCCTTTCCCCCTCCTTTGTGTTGTTAACACCTGAGGGCACACAGCTTCTCATTCTAGTTGGAAACTCAACCTCCCAAGAGCTTGTTTTCCAGAAGACCAAAGACCCCATCCAATTCGCTCCATGGTTGCACAAGTGCCAGCACTGCTCCCAGACAAAGTGTGGGAGCAAACAGCTGGGAAAGGACAGATTGTTTCCTCTGCTAGCATCGCTGTCTCAGCTGGATGGAACTGGTTGTAAAGCTGCTCTCTATGTCTATAAAACTGGCAAGAATGGGAAATAAAGACTGTTACTGTTAGCTGAAATTGCAGCAGGAAACTGTTGAGTCAGAAAACAGTCGCCACCTCAGCCCCATAAATTCCACCTCCACACCAGAGCTAGCTCCCAAAATTGTGTGAAAAACACCAGAAGACCCCTATTACATATGACCAGAATTGCTTCTATTTAATCTGAAAATCCTGCTTCCAAGCATCCTATAGTACTGTATCGTCATGCTAAAAAAATATCAATCCTTTCTGATAGAACACAAATTCGATTCTCCCAAAGAACACTTGTTCAGTTTTGCAAGGAGTTTACTGAATTGTTCCTCTCTTAAGAGGTCTGCAGTGTTTACTGGGACCAGCGCACCAGAGAGGGTGTGAGGAGGTCCCAAGTGCCTGACAGTGTAGAGAGGACTGATATCCTGAAATAATTTACTTGCCTTGATTACCCTGGGGATGCCCAAAACTGAGGGAGCATTAGTGGTGTTGGAAAACCAAAATTTCTCAACCATTTTGAAACCTGAGTTTATGTTTTCTGTCTCTTCCAGAGCCTGGGTAGCTTGATCCAAGCTCCCAATGAAGCAAAAAACATGCCCATGGGTGCTCAGTAGGATCCACAGATTCTGATCTTTTGTAGTGTCAGTGATCAAGAGAACCTGTAGTTGGTGAGTTCATAAAGGGAAATATTTCTCTCTGCTTGTGAAATCTGGGATGTAATGGATTTTATTTCTTTGTAAAGCATGAAATAAAACCCTGACAGTTTGAGGAAAACATGGGGGCAGACAGATAACTGCAGAATTTAGGATGGGGAATCTCTCCCTCCTCCAGGTTTTTGGAGGAAAAACTACTGCTACAGTGCAATAGAGTTTGTTTGTGGCTGCCTGAGAGGCTTTCTATATGTAAGTTGTTTTTCAAGTTCTCTGCCTTAATTTTCCTGATGCAGGGCAGAACGCACAAGCAGGCTTAGCAGTAGACAGGACCTGAGGACCACAGGACTCAACTCCTGTAAGCTTTTCAGAAGTCCCTCAGACTTTCTGTGAAGCCTCCTGGCAAAGCAGGCAGCAGGCCAGCCCCGCAGGGAAGTGATTTCAGCACAACTTCAGGTGATGATCAGGCCCAGAGCAGCTCTGGGGGCATTACCTGTCTCGTCACTGTACTCCCCGTCGGGGCAGTCCACGCACTCGAAGCAGCAGGTGGGCTCCCCCTCAATGATGCCCTTCCTCGTGCCTGGCAGGCAGTCCCTGCTGCAGTTGGAGAAAGGCACCTGCAAGAAAAGAGCCCGAGCAGGTTAATGGTGCCAATGCCTTACTGTGGCAAGATCTTGGCTTCCACCAAGGCAATTATTGCTTGGTTGGCATGCTGGATGAAGAGCCTCAAATGCTCACCTCTTCCACCCACAGAAAAGACACATTTTGCACAATAGTCCTTCCCCAACCCACTGCAGTGAGATTTCTCTGAAGGAACACATCAAGGGATAGTAAGGAAGATCAGCAGACCTTTGTAATCTCTACTGTGTTGTGGACATTGCAAACTGGAATGTGACCATGATACACATACCTCAAAACAGTCATTAGATGGTTAGAAGAAAAGACAATCAATCTCTACTGGCAGGAATTTGAGTCAGCCTTGGAGATGATGGGCCCTGACATCTGATCCCCAATCCAATATATTGCATAATGTCTGCTAATAATTTGCGGGAATTATTTTAAAAAAACTTTTCTGAAACTCACTTCTTCTTTAAGAACACTGAACATCTAAAGATGCAAATCAGTGGCACTTCACAGATCCAAAGGTTTCCAGACCTCTGCTGCAGCAAATGATGTCACCTGCTGGCTGTGCATTCCTGCTGTGTCTGAGCCCACCTGAGCACTGTCGTGTCCTGGCAGCAAGTGGTTGCATGGGCTCACTGCATACCTGAAGTACACTGACACAAAGACTTCAGCATGATGAATGGAAGCCTGGGACTTTGTCACACAGTCATGACCTGAGGTTGAGCTCACCTCTTTCCAACTAAATTAAAGAAAGGGAGTTGACAAAGAACATGACTTTCTCAGCTCAGGAGAGTTAAACTTACAATTTCCACTGCTAGCAAAATACCATGATCCTTACGTAGTCAGTGGCTGTTCTGTTTGGAAGCCTCCATTCACCTTTTTGGAAGTTTGGTGCTAGTTTACCCAAGTGCTGCCAACCTGCTGATCTCTGGGAACCTCCTGCATTGATGCATTTGTACAAGGAGTCCTAGCTATGGTTTGGAAGTTGCCTATGTGCAGGCTTGATGCCCTAGCCACAGGGGAAGCAAAGCTCTCACTAATGACAGCTGCTATGTAGAGATGAACACTGTGGCTCAGTGAGGGCAGTCTCTGTGTCCTATCATTGCTGCCTGAAGTGCAGCTGCAGCACAGTTTGGGAATGCTGTTCCTAAGCTGTTCATCAGGATTACATCATTGATGGGACAGACACATACACAGGGCAACTCCCTGCTTGAAGCACTCTGCTGTTAGTGCCTACTGCTATAAACACAGTGCTCCTATTCCTTGGGACAGTCTTTGAGCAGGCAGTGCATCCATCAAGAGGACTTCATCAGTCTGGCCTGTCTTTCCCTAGCTGCCACCTGTGATTTTGAACAGAGCTGAATCAAAGGCTGAAGTTACACGCTGCTTCCCCATTATCTACAAAGTTGATTGAGCTTCCAAGGAGAAAAATTAAATTGGTTTGGCATGATTTTATCTTGACAAATACACGTTGGCTTGTTCTTATCAGTTTATTATCCTTTAAGTGTTTATAAACAGTTTAATTTTTTTTTATCAAGTCTTTTAGGTTACTGAAGCTCAAGTCAATTGTGTATAATTCCCTTGGTTCTCCTATAACTGCTTTAAAACCAGGTATTATGATTGCTCTCTGATCCTTTGAGACATCATGCATCCTCCACATTTCTGGAAGATGAATTGCTAGTACTTTTGTGATTGCTTTGGCTGAATTCTTAAGTATTCTGTGGGGAATTTCATCAGGTTCTGCCAAAATGAATCTATCTATCTTACCTACTCTTTAACTCATTCTTTTGCAAGTCTGTCCAATGCTCAAGTTCCTAAATGTTAAAATTACCTACATTTAAACTTTTGTTGGGGGTGACAAGAGGCACAGTGAGTGAAGTACTGGCTACTCATTTTGAAAAGAGCCTTTTATCTGAAAGAAATTGGGAGTATATAAACTGAAAAAAAGAGGCTGCAGGAGACACAGAAATTGCAAACCCCTCCACTGCACATAATTTACATACCCTGGCACTACACTCAGCAACATCCTGTCACATTTTTAACAGTTTAGGACAGAGAATGAAGTTAAATATTGCACTGCCAGAGAAATTTAGACCAAGAGAACACAATCACTCCGTTTAAGTAAAAACCAATAAATCCTAACTGTTGGAAAAAGTGCAAGATGCATTTGCAACAATCTGAAGGAGGGATCATAATATCAGAGTTTTTTAAGTTCCACTTGTAGTTTGTACTTAGAGACTCCAGGTGGACATAGAAAAGCTCTGAGGTCAGTATTTCTGTGGTAGTATGCTGTGTTCAATTCATGCCTCCTTCAGAGTGCTCTGGACTTGAACCAGAAGTGCAGCTGGAGTAAAGGAAAGGCTGAACTCATGCTGTAACTGTTCTGGGCAAGTAGCTAAGGCAGAAGCATTACCTGATCTGCCAGCCAATGTGAATAATCCCCTGGAAGTGAATTCCCTCTTTCATTAATCAGGTGCTGGCCTAACACATTGAAACATCCCAGTAGGGCCTGGCAGTGACATTTCTGAGCTAATACTCTACTTCCTGTGTCAATTCCCAGATCACAAACCATGTACCCACTCAGTATTCCCTCTGGGAGTCAGAATTTCTGCCTAGCTGGCTGCTGCCAGCTATGACAGCACTTCATTTGGCTCTGGTCTGGAGATGTCTGCACCATGTTTCCATCACGTGAAAACAGTCTGGCTGCTAGTGACAATAATTATGCTGAAAAAGAATTAAACATGTGCAAGACAGTGGAGAAGGACTTAGACCTGACTGAAGTCAATTGATACCTCTTGAGATCACTACTTCTGAGGCTGAAGAAGCATTCTCAAGGAAAATACAAGAAGAAAAAAAAGGTAGCAGGTGCTGGCATCTTCCACTATTTGAGCACCATGTCCAAGTTAACCCAGGCAGATTGACAGGGCTTTTTTGGTTGGTTTGCAAGGCAAGGGTGTGAGGAAGGCTCTGGGACTTGGTGGGTGAAGCCAACAGAAAGAGTTGTAAATATAACTAAGAGCAAGAAGAGGCACTTCTTGATACAGAAATAATTGGAGTGAAAGAGATGGCTCTTTTCAGCAGTGAAACTGCTGAGGTCAGAAAATATTGATTTAGTCTACAACCAGACTTGGGTAATGAATTTTTCATCCCTTTGAAACACTGCTATAAAATTCTACTGTATCTGCTTGGGCCAGGAAAAAAGGATATAATTTAAAACATTAATACCCATTAATACCCATAGGTAAACAAATTTACAGAAGGGGAGGAGACATTGTCTGTTATTTCAGTGTGTAAGAAGGGTAAGAAAGACTATGGCAGAGACTGTGTATACAGTAAGGTGAATGGATCCAGATCATGGAGCCATAATAGGAGGAGTGTGCAGGGCAAGTTGAAATTTCAGCTTGTGGATCTGGAAAACATTGCTGTGAGGATTTAAGCACTTACCTCCTTAGAGAGTCCACCCCACAGGATCTTGTTTTCATTGATAAAAAGCCTCTCCCCTTTCTTGGCATAAACGTTGTAGTGCCCAACCTCTTCAAAGACGACTGAGCCATCCTCCGGAGAGAGATGCCAATTGATTATTGAGTAATTTCCTACCAGGTCCCCAAACTCATCAAAATCCACCTGCTCCCCCATGTTATTGGTGAAATTCAAGTGTCGCAGATGCTTGAGAACCTAGAGAGAGACAGAGAGACACTGTAAATGCCTGTGTGTTACAACCCTACCACAGCACACATCTGCTATGGGGGCAGTCCTGGGAAGAAACACTTTACTACAAACCTTAATCTCTTCAAATCTTTTAATTGCAGCAGTAGGAGGTTTTCTATCCCATGAACACACAGAGTGTGTACAAACCTTGTAGACAACACAAGGTATTGTGGCCCTCTGGGTGGCTGGCCACCCATCTGTAATACTTACTGATGCTACCCCATCATCCATTTAGCATTCCTCTTTGCTCCTCTGAGTCACCTCTGCAAGCCCAGAGCTCTTTGTTAGGGCCAGGGAAGTGGCAGCAGCCTTTCATGTGTTTCAGTCACACCACACATACATCACTCTCACCCTGCTCTTGCAACCACTGCATGAATGCTCTCAGTTGGTATCTCTAGTCTCTGAATGATCGATCACTCAGAAACAGGAGTTCTTGAGAAACAACTCAGACTTGACTCTGGATTGAAAAAAACCCAAGCCCAGTGCACTTCAGTAAGAAAACACCAACAAATCAAGTTCATTTACCATATGGCAGACCTGGAGAATTCCTACCACTTTTTTTGGCTTCTGTCTCATAGTTGCATAGCTGAAAGTAATCACATTCTGCCTGTTCCCTGGAGTTCTTCCCTGTAATTTTCATCTCATGCCTTTAAGTGTTATATAGAATCATAAAATCATTAAAATATGAAAATATCTCCAAGATCATCAAGTCCAACCATTAACCCAGCACTGCTCTATTCACCATCAAACCATGTCCCCAGGTGCCATTTCCACACGTTTTTTGAACACTTCTAGGAATGGTGATTTCACCACTTTCCTTGACAGCCTATTCCAATGCTTGACTATCCTTTTAGTGAAGAAATTTTTCCTAATATTCAATCTAAGCCTTCTCTGGCACAACTTAAGGCATTTCCTCTCATCATGTCACTTGTTACCTGTGAGAAAAGACCAACCTCCTCCTTGCCATAACCACCTTTTAGGGAGTTACAGAGAGTCATAAGGTCTCCCCTAAGCCTCCCTTTCTCCAGCTAAACAGGCCCTTCCTTCCCTCAGCTGCTCCTTGTCAGACTTGTTTTCCAGACCCTTCACCTGCTCTGTTGCCCTTCTCTAGATGTGCTCCAGCACCTCAGTGTCTGTCTTGTAGTGCAGGGCCCAGAACTGGACACAGCACTGGAGGTGTGGCCTCACCAGGGCTGTATATGAGGGAACAATCCCTGCCCTGGTCTTGCTGGCCACACCATTGCTGATACAGGCCAGGTGCCACTGGCCATCTTGAACACCTGGGCACAGCTGGCTCACGTTCAGCTGGCTCTCAACCAGTATGCTGCATGTCCCTAATTCCAGGGACAACTGTAGTTGTAAAATTCATGATCTAGATTGCCTAACAAGTAGACCTAAGAAACTGCAGCATAAAAGAAAGCCTGTCCTGGCAACTGTGATACAATTCATCCATATTGTATTTCTGTTCAAAAAATAATTGCTGGTTTAGGCACTTCTCAGATTTCTCCCCAAGCTCATCTATGGAAAGATAAGGTGACTCTGAGAGTTCCTGGCTGTCAGCTGCCCCTAGACTCCAGCAGCACAGTTGCTGCTGTGCTTCTACTGCCCGTGACAGCTTGTAAGCCCAGTCTCTCTCCCTCTCTCTCTCCCCCCCCTCTCTCTCCCACCTGTGAGAGCCCAAACATACAACTCTGGATGGCAAAATGTAAGAGAAGCCAAAACTAAATCAATTTGTCTGGGCAGGCAGAGTCCTCTTCACCCCACAGACAGAACAGACAATATTGTTTTGATGAATCCTTCTCACCTGGAAACACAGGGACAAGGGAACAGAATCACTTCATTAATTCCTGTCAGTTGTGCTAAATTGTCTCATTTTTCGCTGTTTCCTTTTGGGATCCTCCTAGCTCAAGCTAAAATCCCCAGAGCCACAGATACCCTCCTCCCACTGCCTGTTTCAATGCCTGCCTGAGAGAGTCTGGAAAAATCATTGTAGTACTACAAAGGATGTGACCAACAATACCTTTTTGGCTTGTATGATGTTGATGGAAGGATATAAAAAAATTGCCACAGTACTCAGTCTTTGACTAATGGGTGAGACAGAGCAGGCAGGATTTTTTTTCTGTCTCATTCCTGTTGCCCCTCCTCTGGAGACCAGCTCACCCATAAGGTGTGAAGCTGGAATTATCTCACCAAAGAACCAGGACCTGTCCCTGAAAGATCTCACCCTCTGATGGACACAGCAAAAGAAAGTGCTCTGTGCTGGCACTTTGCTGTGGGGAGCTGGGACATGGCCTGCTGGGTAAGAAAATAGGAGCCTGCTCCCCTCTCATTCCCCTCATTGCTGAGGGGTACCCAGGAGGGTGCTACTTGCCCAGCTCCACTGGGGGACAGTGAGAACAGAGCAGAAGCAGCCGTGAGGTCAGACAGGGTCTGCAGATCCCCAGTGATCTGTTGTACTGCCTCACCTCACTCTGGCCTCATCTGCACAGGGGCTTCAATCTTGGTCTGGTTGGTACCAGAAACTTTGTCTGTCAGCAATGCAGGTTCTCAGCAGGCAGCTCACATTCCTCTGCAGGCTCTGGCACCTACCACAGGGTGACAGCTGCAGCTTTGATGTCTAGATGAGGTTTGTCCTTACACTGAGCCTAATGCCATGTTTCTCTTCACTCCAACTCAGTATGACACTCATGCAGCACTACTGCGTCCTTCTGAAGGACACCAGGATATCCTGAGTATCACTGCTGGGTTGGTTGACTGTTACCTGCACAGACAGGAGACCCTGCCCTTGTTTTGACTGCAGTTACTACACACACAATCTTGCAAGAGCCATATCGAGGATTCTTCTGTTCAAGTCCTGCCTTTCCTGGTCAGCTGCATCAGCAGGAGGCTCACTGGCCTTAGGGTCAGGAAGATGAATGGTGGAGAAACTTCTGGATTCCCTGAATGCAATTTTTTGTTTGTTTAATTTCGTAACATTCATATCAATTAGTCTGTTCCTTGGCCTTCCCTCCTGTCATTAGGTTTCTTAAAAATAATACATACCCCTGGCTTTTAGTGGGGTTTTGTAGGATTAGTTTGATAGGACCTTTCCCTTGGTCACACACACTACACCTGAGGATTAAGGTTATAAATGAGTTCATGTATGACTTGATATGCCTGTCTGACTGTTAATTCATATAGAAGTGCTGATCTGCAAATTGTGTTGTCTTTCCCCAGGCAGAGTGTACCAGCTTCAGCTCTGCAACTGTAGCTAGTGGGTACAAAATGTGTATTAGTTCATCCACGAAAGGCACATGACCTGATTAAAATTCCAAATGGAAAGGCAACAGGAACAACAGAAATAACAAAGCCTGGGGTTTTTTCTTTTCAGAAAACAAAAGCTTTTCTTCAAATCTAAATTTCTGAGGGGCAGCTTGTAAAATGAACCAGCAGAACATGTTCCTTTTGTAGAGAGCAAGAAAATCCCAGGATCCTATCTCTGTATCTCACAAGTTCTGCTCTTTACAGTGTGAAAATACAGTTTAAACAGACAAGGAATATATAAACACCAACCTTTGAAAGAGGAAGTTGTAGACTCTGAATAACCCCAGAACTATTATATATTCACCAGTCTATCAAAGATTAGCTAAAGGCTTACAGTTAAAAAGTGTCACTGTGTTTTGTAACTAAAGATAGAAACACACATAACCAGGACTAAATCCACAAAGACCTAAAAGACCCTGCTTCAGCCAGGCCAACAGCATGTGTCAGGGGTAGGTGTATCATATCCTGGAACCAAGAGTTTATGAAAGAAGTGTTGACCTTGTGGCTTGGATACACTGTCAGCAGCTGCTGGAAGCCTGTGGGGAGAGCATTGTGCAAACTGCTGTCTTCAGATATTTCTTTCTGTAATTTTCCCTTCTTTTCTTTTCTCTCTGTCACAGACTTCATGTTGAATTGCAGTGCCTTTTAATTAAAACACCTATTATTGGAAAGGACTTGCAAGCTACCCTCTAGTTCACCCTCCTATTATTCCTGGTAAGGCCATTCCCAGCCATGCAGCATCCTATACTTTGTCCAGGCTAAATATTCTGGGTCATGTGGTTTCCACTTTTATGGGAGGATCATAGAGCTGTAACATAAATGCAGTTGTTATTAGACCAGGCTGGCAGCTCACCTGCCCAGGACCTGTTTGGGACTGTGGCCAAGAGCAAATACCCACAATAGGAGCCCAGGGGCTGTGGTACTCCCCCTGAACACTCTCCCCCATTTGGCAGCTCAGTGACTTCCCGGGCCAGAGCTTTTGTACCTGATAACCTTTGGGTGGATTTTTCTTCCATGATGTTGCACATTAGTGTTTTGTACCTGCGTGAACTTTTCACATCCACAGCCTCCTACAGCACAGAGACCTAGATTTTGTGAGACAAGCATTTCTTCATCCCTTTTGGAAGAGCAGCTACAAAACTCTTTTGATATTTATGCTTAAATTGGTAAAGAACTGTCATTTGCTGGTCATCTTTTCATGCCTCTCAGGACTTTACAATCACCTCTCTTCAGACACCTCTTTCTCAGGCTGCTGAGCCCTACCTGGTGTTGCTATATCTTGTACAGAAACTGTTTCACTGACCCTTCTCCAAGCATTCCCAGTCTTCTTCATCAGATCTGAGTCCTGCACAAGATACTGAAGAGAGATGCACCAAAGGGTTGAGAAAGTGGCCCCAGGACACCCTGTTTACCTCTGTGTCCCTTTTCCAGTGCGACTTCCAGTTCTTAAAAGTGCATTTGCTTTTTTTGACTCCTATTCAGATAAGCAGAGGAGTCCACCATAGACTTGATCAACTTCATTTGTGATGTCAGGTCTCATAACTGATTTTTATTCTCTGCTGACTGTCTTTCAACCAACACACACATAAATTCTGAATTTGTGACAGACTACCAGAAGATGCCTTCAAGAAGCCTGAGCATACTCTATGAACAGAAGTTCCATT